GTCTCAAACTCCCGACCTCAGGTGATCTGCCCGCCTCGGCCTCCCAAAGTGCTGGGATGACAGGCGTGAGCCATCGCCCCGGGCTTGAAAGGTGCCATTTTAAAGATCTGCCCAAACACACCTCCCGCCCTGCCTCCTGCTGTAACCTCAGAACTGGGGCTTGGCCTGGCAGGTCTTGCACAGACAGCAAGAGGCGCCCGGAGCAGATGCTGCATCTGACCAGGCGGTGCCTCGGCTGCAGCTGCAGGATCGGGGGCTGCGTGCCTGTGTTCTTGTGGTGCCCAAGACGAGCATGCCTGGAACCAGGGGGCGGCTGGGAAACATGTGTTCACGGCACACGTGTCTCCTCTGACCAGCCAGCCCACCCATGGCCGTTTCCTCTCCCACAGCTTCCTGTGCACACACCATCCTGCCATGAGAGCCAGCGTCCTCTGCTCTTTCCTTTCGACTTGCGGTCCTCCCAGACCCCAGGAGCATTGTTCCAGACGACAGGAGGAGACCACGCTTGTTGAGAGCTGTTTCGTGACTAGGTCGTTGGTGTGAAACTTAAGCGGCTCTAACCCAAGAGGGATCCTTTATGATCACAGAAAGATGAGGGGGATACACACTGATGGGGGGATGTTGGCCAGGCCCCTTCCCTGGAGTCCTCTGGAGCACACAGCAGGCCGCTGCTGTTCCCTGACTGCCGTGAAGCCGACCACAGGCCGGCCCAGCACACCCTCGCCGTGTGCCTTCCCTCTTCCGTCCACACCGCCACTGCCCTCCGTGCCCCTTGACATCCTGCACCTTGTCAGGAAGCCATTCGTGTGCCCACCAAACATGGAGAAGCCCCCCTTGCGTGCCCGGTGGCATGCTAGTGCCCGCGGCTGCGTTTGGGAGCAAAATCAGCAGAGTTGATGTGTGATCAGGAGGAGCCGACCTCTGCAACCTGGATGCTCCAGTAGGGACCCCAGAGGTGTGTTAGGGGCGGCCAGGCCCAACAACTGCAGGCCTGACTCACTCCACCCAGGGCAGCCTGGGGAGAGCTTCCGGGAAGCGGCATTTGGACTGACCCGGGAAGGGTGCTGGGCATTAATCAGTTTGGGAGGGGCTGGGGGAGCAGGGGCATATCCCCGGAACGGGACCTGACTTCTGAGAAGACATCATCAGAGTAGAGAAAATGGCTTCTCAAGGAGATGGGGGACACCGGCGTGAGAATGGTGGGGGGTGGGGGGTGGAGAGCCACCCCGAGGAGCAGGAGGGGGCCCACCGGACCACAGCACCTCGAAGGCCGTGGTGGGGGCCGTGGCAAAGGGCTTGGGTCTCATTCAAGGGGTGATGACGGGAGGTCGCCACGGGTTTTGTCTGAGAGATAAACCCCAACTGAGTGGACCTTCTGGCCGAGGGGATCCCAGAGAAACCCTGACCCCGAGTCCTCCGCCATGCGGGTAAGGCTTAGACCCCTGCTTTCGGCCGGAGAAGAGGTCACAGAATGGTTCTGGACGGTCCGCGGAGAGTTCGCTCAGCTGCCCGTGCCTGCATCTCCTTTCATGAATATTCACGACTCCTCCTGAGCTCACTGAGCTTCTACATTTAGCGTCTCCTCAGCACGAATTCCTGTTCCCTCTGCGCTCGCTCAAAGCGTCTGTTCAGACTTCTGGCCCAAGGCTCTGCTTCCTCGCCTGTCAGGGCTGCCCTGCAGGCTGCGACCCCTGTGGGAAATAAAGCTCTCTGGTGTGCAGAGAAGTAGTTTGCAGACTGGGCGCAGCGGCTGACATCTGTGATCCCAGCACTTTGGGAGGCCGGCAAATTATGAGGTCAGGAGTTCGAGACCAGCCTGGCCAACATGGTGAAACCCCATCTCTACTAAAAATACAAAAAAGTAGGCCGGGCGCGGTGGCTCAAGCCTGTAATCCCAGCACTTTGGGAGGCCGAGGCGGGTGGATCACGAGGTCAAGAGATCGAGACCATCCTGGTCAACATGGTGAAACCCCGTCTCTAC